TAATAGAGATCATGCTTGACTACTTCATAATAGCATGACTACTACATTTATTCATATCTTCACCATGGAAAGCATTCATTCTTAATGGCTCTAGTTTTTCAGAACATTGGAGGTGTGACAAGGTAAGGATTTTTTCCTTATGACTCTTGAGAACTAAGCTTAATGTCCTGATATTGATTCAAACTTTAAAAATCTTCACACCCATGATTTAACTATCTTCATCTTTTATTTTCTGTCCAACAGGTACAAATCAAAGATAGCAACTGATAAATCACATATAATTCAGCAGGTTGGTGCAGTTGTACTTGAGTTTGGTAACTTTTTGTCTAAAGGCATTAATTTATTTATACTGTCCTTGAAATTCTGCTTCCTCCAGCCCATTTCCTCATCTTACTTGTTCTGGGTGAATCTTTCTACCAGAGAGATTTTTAATGTCTCAAACATGTATTTCTTTCCTCTCAATATGCCATTCAGGTGAGAAATCAGCAGAATTTAGTCATTGTTCTCTTTGTTAGACTTCAGATGATTGCACTCACAGTGGGACCACAGCTGCAATTTTTTTGTCATGCTTTATCACAACACATAAATAAGGCACTTTCTGTGGTGCTGAGTCCCCAAGTCCTTTGGTATACCTGTACCTGGTTCTCGTATATACCTCTGTGCTGAGTCAACAGCAAAATTCCCTGCTGCAGTCAGGTATGGTCTTAATCTAGATTAGACAAGATCTAATAGTGCACAGCTGATATGATCAGCTGCTGGGGATGGGCATCGTTAAATAAGTGCGTGATGGGATTGAAAAATACAGTAGATGCTTACTTGAATTATCCTGATTGTGAAAACAATTAGTAGTCTCTGTTGAAAGTTTCAACAGTGATTTAGTCAGTTCCTCTTTTGTCAAAATCACTTGCTGAGAACAGTATCTGATGGTGCAGTATCATGTTTTTTTGTTTTTTTTCCAAATAATTCTGAATCATGACAGTAGACAGGATGTTTACAAAAATCAGCATATAATTTAAATTTCATATTCAAAATCTGACATTAGCCTTGCTCTTTCTTATGCTACCAGCTTTGCCAGATATACTGGTTAAAATTTACCAGGAGAAAAGTGGAAACAAACTTGTTGCTTGTACATCATCATCATCATCATCATCATCATCCTCATCATCATCTTTCAGTTACCAAAAACATTTGGATAACTAGAAATTTTACACAATACCAAGAAACAGAGAATATGGCTTTTGGGTAATAGTGGTCAAAGTTATGATGTTCTAGAATTCGTATGGGTTGTATTAATAAGGCAGTTTTCAGAACTTAATACAAATTCATAGATGATGCTAACAACACTATTAATGATGCTGTAACTCTGAAATTCAGAACAAGGTCACTGCGAGCCTTTAATGAGATCATCTCCTTAATACAAGACTAATTATTTCTCTATGGAGCAGTCTGTGATAATAATCATCATGCTTTTCTATGGAAAAGAAAGAGAATATGCAGGAGTTGAATTAATATTTAGTAGCCCAGAAATGCCACAGAAACAAAATCAGCTAATTTAGATATGTTTTATATTGATTTCCTGCCTTCTAGATAACAGCAAACGTTCTTGCATGCTATTTTATGTCATTCATTATTTAAATAACTTGATGTTATTGTTGTTGGCATAACTATACAAGTAGAAATTCAAAAACAAGTGCTTGATTTTTTTCCTTGATATTAAGAAATAGAGATTGGGCAAAATGGGAAGACATGTACAACCAGTAGATGATACTTCCTCAAACAATATTTTTTCTGACAAAATCACTGAGGTTTGATACTCTTTCTGTAATCTATGATTCAAAGTTGCTTTCTGTTAAAATCAAGCATAGGAATTATTTGTGATGCCAGGTAAAATTGATAGCTCCATGTAGTTTAAATTTCTGTAGTTCTGTCTGACCGCATGTGGCTGGGTACCATTTCATCAAGTCTATGTGCCATGTCATTATTACATGGATGCATCTTTACTAAGAGGAAAGAGCCCAAAAATAAAAATAAAACCTGAGTGACTTACAAAATGGATGGTGAGTCTGGGGTTTTTTTTCAGGATCCTCTGCATAGATGATGCTAACAACACTATTAATGATGCTGTAACTCTGAAATTCAGAACAAGGTCGCTGCGAGCCTTTAATGAGACCATCTCCTTAATCTGTCTCATAGCAGGTTTCTTATTTTTACATCTTGACCAGGAATTTCGGTGTGTTGACTGAGGAGAATAGTTATACTAGTTCCACTGCAACTTTAGTTTGCATATGCTTCATAAAAAAATCAAATTAATGTAAAGACAGGAATTAGTTAGCCAAATACGTAATATCATGGGCCCACTATTCTTCCCTGGTAATAAACTGTAATTTATGGAGCAAAGATTAAGACAGAGAAGCAAAGTTTTTCCTTTCTAAAGATCTATAATATGTTGCTACTGCATGGTAATTTAAAGCAAAGCTCCAGAAGTGTATTTTTTAACTTTTTACTTTGAAGAAGTCTTATTTCAAGTGAGCTGAAGTTGTGATTTCTTATGTGTGGACTTGCATTTTCAACTGTATTATTCTGTTTGCATTACACTGAAACATTGTGGACTACAATAGAAAAATAAGTTCTTTTGGCACGCTCAGGAAGTTTTATCTGTACTCCTGAGGTTTCTCAAAAAGCAAAACATTTACGTAAATGTATTAAGTAGTGACAGCTTTAAAAAACAGTTCTGACATTATGCAGTGAAATATCTCAGTGGAGAAGTAAGACACATACACATTTCTGTTAACCATCAACTTCACTTTCAAAACTAGTTGTGCCAGGAAGCATATTAATTAGACAAGCTTCTAGCAATGCCACAAAAGTCTATTTTTAACTATATTGGGATTTTACACTTCAAATAAATGCATTTCTACTATATCTTTTGGATTTTTATACACAAGACATAATTTTATGCCGTGTGTCAATGTACAGGGCCCTAACTTGCCAGACACTGAATCCATCATGTGAAATGCACATATGTCTCCTTATTTACTTACTAATTCATCTGCTGCATGCATTTACCAGATGACTCTGCAAGTCATGGGGCTATGCATCCCAGAGGTTATTCAAAGGCAATGATATGCTGCAAAATTATGTTGAGTTATTATTTTTCCCTTCAAAATCTACTCAGATCTGCATTTTCTGATATTAGTTATAAGATTTAAGTTTGCTCCTTTTATCCTCACAATTTAATACAGTTCAGGTGTAGTGATAGTTACAGGGTTTTAGGTAGGTGACAGACTCTTTTCTCGTTTACACATCACTAAGAATACTAAATTATTTGTCACTGCTATGAAAATTTGAAGGGAATAGTGTTGAGCTGATATTTCTTAGGCATATTTGCAAGATTAAGAGATTATAAAATCTAAACAGTGGCCCACCTTTGCTTAATTAATGACACATGGAAGAAAGAACTGTGTATTCAAGAACTAGTTTGTAATATTACTATTGTAATATAAATTGAAATAAGTTAATGTACAGGATCATGTTACAAAAAAAATATTGCCTCTTCCATTGCCTTCTGGTACTTTTGTTTTAACTATGAACCTTCTGAAGGAGGTATGTAAAGTCACTTAGTCTGGCTTGTTTTAATGTGCTCTCAACGACCTGGAAGGCAGGGCCTTCAACTGACTGCAGACTGCTCTGTTCTAGCCAAAGAACAGCTTTGTGAGCCCTCTTGGGAACTCCACCACGTTTCAAGCATAGTAGTCCTCTCATGCCTCAAAATATTTGGCAGCAGGCATAATCAGCCTATCTGAGGAACAGAGGTCTCCTTGGAAGGAGCTGATGGCTATGTGTACGTCCATCAGTCCTGGCCTACACAAATGCACGTCCTGGTTGCGTGCCTGCTTCTGTGTTGTCCATCTTCTCGTGGCTGCTTGGGAAGGGGGTGGCTGTAGGTAGTCAGCAATCTCCCAGAGCAAGTCATCAGCTTTATCAACTTCCAGATGACATCATTTTTGGGAAAGACGACAGTGGAGAGTGAGTCACAGGCTTAATGAAGCAGCCTGCTTGGTCACCTTTCTCTTTGAGATGCTTGAAATTAAAAGGGTCATTGGTCAAATGAGTTAAACTCAAAGGAAATCCTTGACAGTTATTGCCCATAATGATGCTGCCTTTGTCACCATTACTCTTATGGAGCCACTGGAGATCAGGTACAACAGAGGAGTGAGGAAGAGGGAAATTCATTCTTGTGAAGATGCACAGATGACAAGGAATTTGCGCTTCTGCAAGTGGAAACCTGAGGATATGCCCCACACACAACTTGTTGTGAGATCTCCATCAGTAGCCCTCACTAAGACAATACTCCAGCCAGCATGAGCAAAATTATGTAATGTTTTACTTCCCTCCTGAGCTATAACAACTCTCCGTCTCTTTCTCTCTCTCTCTCTCTCACACACACACACACACACTCCTCCTTTGGCTTTTCTTCATCCCCATGCCTGCAGGCTCAGCAGCTGGTCCCTCTGTCCCTGCACGCTCAGGAGCCCTCCCTGGTGAGCAGGGCTGTCCTCAGGGGGGAAAGCTCTGCTGACACCCCAGGGCAGCTGCTGGCTGAGTTTGCTCCCAAAGCAGCAGCAATATGGCCACGTTGGCGTGACCTCCCCTAGATAGTTCCTCTGAGGTGATTTCTTCATAATTACGTCTCCATAATTATTTCCTTCTCCGGTGTGGCATAGGGAGGCACACACTGCCCCAAATGCCATGGGAGGAGTTCTGTGTTACCTGCTACCACTGTATGCCTGGCACTTGGGAAAAGCCTGGAATGACAGAGAGAGGGAGGGCAGAAAAAGGACCTAAAGGTGTGTTCCTTCAACACCTCCTGCTTGACAGTTGAGCCCTGCTTTTACCATGGTCAAGTGTCACAGGGGACCAAGTTACAGGGTGAATCAAACTCTATATTTAGGAAGAACAACTGGAAGCTATGACAGGAATTCCCTTTTACACTTCACTTCTCTGCTGAGTCCCACTCCAGCCTGGAGCAGCACTCAGTGCCGTCCAGGCTGAAAGCATCGGAGCTATTTCAGACACATTAAAAGGGTCACAGTCAATACCTCAGCTGGTAGAAGAAGGTACCTCTTTCAGCATCAAAAGGAGGTGTGCACACTCACTTGACGGTTTGGAACTTTTTTTTATATAAGTAAATAAGTTAGCTAATCTTGAAGGGGTCAATTAAAATCTTGAAAGACCCTCATGAAAACTCTTTAGGAATTGCTGTGAGTTTGCTACAGTAGTTGTGGTTTTCTGCCTATTTTAATGTCTCATGCAGTGTATCAGAGTATACAGAGCAGATCACTATTGCTTCATAGTCTGTGGGGATCTAAAAATTGAAAATAAAAAGTCACTTGAATACCTCATGACTCATAAGAATTGTGTATGAGTTTGAATATTGTCATACATAGGCAGAAGGTTATTGTTTTCTGTATGCTTATTATAATTAGTGAAATATTACATTATGGTTTTGATGCAAGAGAGGTTTCTTTCACTAAGTTTAACAGGCAACTGCAACGAAGATTATTGTGTATTAGGGAAAAGTGACCACATTTGCCTAGAGCTTGTAGTAAGTTTTCATGTAACAGGCTGAAAGCTGCAGGGTAGGGGTTTCTCTTCTTTCATTGTACTGGTTAGGTCTCACAGTTGTGTAGTTCCTGTCAAAGTTTTTTAATAAGATAATACACTGCAGTTCTGTCTCCAAAATGCCCGTTGTTCTTGACGCTGTGCATGCAGTGGGGGGAGAGGACAGCTTCCAGCTGGGGCAGGGGGAGGGCTCTTGCTGTTGTCTGTGTGCTACTGTACATCTCTTGTGTGCATTACAAAAGATGGCATTATGATATCTCATCGTGTTTAAAGCAAATTGAATAAATCAGCTTATTATCTTGCTCCAGCCCTGTCAGAAATTATTTTTAGCAGAGAGACAGAAGATAGGTTCCTTTGTTTTACAAAGTTTCACTTCAAAACACTCATTTATTTCACTGCAGTAGTCCTATATTTCACAAGTAGTCCTGCTCGTGAGTACTTTCACTGCAAAGAGGGAATTTGCAAGGGAAGGCTGCCATAAACCAGCTTCAAATTGAACTAGCGTTGCCACTGCTTTCTAAGTTTGGCTCAGCATGCAGCCCATAAAAGGTAAAAGGTAAGGTGTGGGGAGGCCAAAAAGACGCCAGGGAATACAGGCTGCGTGTCTGCATTTCTCTGCCTGCTAGAGATGTGAAATCCTGCTGTGGAAATGAGGGTGAAGTGGGATTTTTTCAAGTCTTCAGAGCTGATTGGAATACCAGAAATAACTTAATACAATCAGTGCAGCACTCTTGACTCACTCTGTCTGAGACACATGGTGAAAGAACAAAGGAATTGATAGAAATTAACTTATCACTTCTGTAATGGATGCTTCTGTAATCTAAGGTTTATTTTCCTGTGATTGATGGTCAGCATTGCTCTGTAAGGAAATTCAGGGAAGGGAGGGAAGGGGAAAGAGCCAGAGATCTATTTTTACTCAGTAGTGTGCTGTTGTCCTGATTTCTCTGGCGGTAATGAGGACAGCACGGTCTGCTAGGAAAATCACCTCCTCCAAAAGCAGTCCTACACAATTGTATCATGCAGCCCTCTTTAGGAACCGGTGTCTGATTGCAGTAATTTCCAACACTGGCTGCCTGTGAACCCAGAGCAGCTCGCTGAGGAACACTAATGCTGTGCTTGTTTCATAGCTGAGGTTCAGGGTAAATCCTTGCCATTTATCTCTAAGTGGCCCAAGAGGTGTGTATGGGTGTTTTTCCAATGCACAGGCATGCAAGATGAAATACATCTTAGCAAGAATTTCTTTGTGACAGTGTTTGGGAAGTAGGTCCACTGTGTTTCAAAGTATTTAATGTTATTTAAACATTTTTAAATATGCTTTTTTCCCCATTTTTCATTCTGATTAGAAAGATGAGAATTTGATTAAAAAATTAATTAAACAATCTGTATTATGACTCCTGTCTTCCCAGTCAGTTGGGGAATTGTTTTGTGTTTATTTTGGAATACAGTCACTGATCAACGGAACAGTTATTTAGACGCCTAATAAAGATTTTCAAAAATAAAGGAGGTAGAGTATAGTAAATCCTGTTGTGGTTTTGAAATGTGTTTGAATTTTGTCATGAATGTCAGTGGCTGAGATTGCATCCCCTAAAGTGAATTCTGAAGTTTTTAAAACTCCCTCTCATTTGCAGATTGTATATATAAAACCACAATATAAAGCTCATTAAAAGAATGCTGGTTTTATTTTGCATAGTGGGATTTTTTTCTGATTTATTAATTTAGTGGAAGCAATTTAAACCCAAACAATTTATGAACATGATTGTCCTCTGACTGAATGCTGTGTTGGTTTCGACACCACTTTTTGCAGCTGAGAGTGTGACCAGAGGGAGACCTCTAATGGCAGGTCATTTGTGTTTTTAATTCTGCTCAGCATTGTACACAGATTTAAAACTGATGTGAGAATATGCAGGAGGAAGTCTTCTAGTCAGCCCCAGCAGTACAATTTCAGGCTGATATTGCTGATATTCCAAGATGAAGCCAACCTACAATTCATCTGTATGGTTTTTTGGGGACTGCCTCATGTGGCAGTTATACTCTTTGAGGTACCCAAGTCTTCACACACTTTTAATTTCTCAGTGTATTTCTGCTATTCTCTCCTATGTCATTTATTTCTGTTCTTATTACTTCCCTTCCTATCTAAAATTAAATACAGTATCAAAAATGTGCTGTAGTTTGGTGGTGATCAGTGACTTTTCTGGTGAATTAATTTCTGAGCTTTTAGAATTACTGCCTTACTTTATATTATAATAGTTAAATAATCAGACTTTGATGAAAGTCTAGTCCAGTTAAAATGTAACTTCTCAGTGAGAGAAGGAAAGGCTGAGATGGTGTTTCAAATAATCTGCTAATAAAATTTCTTCCTTTTTACTTTGGTGTATTTCCCTTTGCTATTGTATATTGATAGTGTATCAGTCTGAATTTCTCCACCTGCATAAAATTATAGGGAAAAATATGTTATTTTTGATCTTATTGCTAAAGAAAATTGATGAATCTATATGATCTAAAACTTTGAAGGGAGGCTACTTTGTGCTCTAGCAGTTGTCAAGGAGAACTTTTCTACTTGACCATCTTGTCCACTCTCAGTCACAGGCATTAAAGATTTGCAAGGATTGAGTCAGAAAATGGTTATGTCTGCAATATTTTCTAACTAGTTACATTTTATTTGAGAGAAGGCTTAAACTGAAAGTTCTAATAATTCCCACATACATACAGTGACTGGGCTAATCACACACTGCTTGTCCTCAAAAGCTTCCTTTAATTCTTACTCATTTTACAGTGCTGTTAATGTTTGAGAGATTCCTTATCTCTACTCATTATTGTTTTTAATGTGAAAGAGATAGCTTCATTTGTGGCTATGAAAGATTAATTGGTGAAGCTCAGGTGTTCTGTCTCCTCCTGATATCAGAAGGCATAACTAAGCAGCTTGGAAACTGAGATGGAAACAGGAGCTTGGCAGGTGAAATGGATGCCTGTCAAGAGGCAGCATGGGTTAAGTTCTAGCTTATCTTCCACAGCTATCAGAATGTCAGAGCCTGTAACACTTTCCAATTTTGCTTGCAGGGATAAGCCTCTGTCGTAAAAATGTCAAAACAACCAGCATCACATGTCAAAGCCATTCAGGTAAGACATAGCATTTAATGTTTTTAATATAATAAAATAATAAATCTCATCCTCCATTGCTTGGCAGACTGCATTCTTACTCAGACAAAGCACCACAGGAGTGCTAGCTGGGGTTATTCTGTTAAAGTGAAAAGCTTAGTAGATATGAAAGCACTGAAAAAGTGTGACCTGGAGATCATCTTTTGATCTGAGCTGATAAAAACTGGATCAGATAGGTTCATTAATCACTTGTTTGTGTGGTCTTTGCAGTGTTAGGTTATGCCTATTGGAGCATCATCTAAGCAAAATATGGTAATGCATCTGCATAACTGTTAAGCAAAAATAATTCCTGCAACCATTAGATTTTCCACAAAGCCAATATAATGCTGGGAGAATTATAGGCTAAAAAGATAGCATGGGTGTTGTGAAGTTTTTCATGTCTGCATTCTTAAGGAGAAAAACCCTCAAGTTCAAATAGTTGTTTAAGAAGTATTTTATTTAGAAGCCAAAGGAAAATGAGAGAAACACTAATCTTTTAATATGAAAGATTCTTGTCTGCCACATACCTCTTCAATAACACATTGAAGGATGATGGAGTTGATTGTTGTATACTTGTTGCTTATAAGGATAGAGTTGATTGTTGCATACTTGTAAAATAAGCAGCTGGAGAATTATTCCAACATTATCACAAAGTAACATCATGAAGAATGTGTTTAGTTCATGTTATCAATGGCTCTTGTCAAAAGGCCTAAATATCTTCGGAACTGAAGAATCTTACAGAATTCTCATGTATTTTGTAAAATGCACTTCCAATGAAATTTTACTATGAGTTCAAGTTACCTTACCTAAGAAAAAATTCCATAAAATGGAATTTCTGAAGTCTTCTTTGTTCTGTTTTCTGGAGATAATACTAATGCAATGGATTGGAGCATCAAGATTAATTAGCCAGCGGCTAAGCAGCATACTGAAGATGCAAGGCACTGTGAAAGTGCAGTCTCTTTATCATCATCATCATCTTCATTATCATCATCAATTCTACCAAAATAGGCATGCTAAATACTATATTCTAATTCTGTTGAAATTAGAAAAAAAATTGCCATTTTGCCAGACTTTTGATTTCACTCAGTTCGAATTTTCATTCCTCTTTTACAGTGATTATAGAAATGTTTGCAGGATTAATGAAAAATTATGGATCTTTAATAGCTGAAAAGCATTTACTTACATTTTTCATTTAAACTCCATAGGTGCATACAAACATTTCTAAGGAATTCATTGGTTTGCATTTTTTTCTTAGAGATGTAATGATAGGCTGCATTTCATTTCTAGGATGGCTTCAACTTCTAAATATAAACAATGCTCCTAGGTTGTTAATTTAAAAATGCATTAAATTTAAGCACTAAGTGTAACATTTTAAGAAACTTTACTTTTTGCAAAGGTAATTTGAAAAGTGAGAAAATTACTGCAAAAATTTCAAATATATCTATTAAGCATTGTGTCAAAGGTGGGTCTAGTAAGGAGACTTGCACCTGAACTGATGCTTGTTACGCTTTGAGCAGTCTAAGAACTGTGACTCAAAATGTCACATTACTTTTATACATTGTGATTCATATCTCATGATCCTTTGCTATTGTGTGCTGGTATAATAGGACTGACGTGCCCTGGGGAATGCACATCATGCTGCAGCAATGGGAATGTATTGGCACCTCACTAACTGAAGTGTTTCATGGTGTTCTGTGCCTGAAATGGGTTTTTTTTCTGACTGTACTAGATACAGACAAAAATGTTCACTTCCCAATAGCTACTAAATACAGATGTGTGAGACTTAAGGGCAGCAACTGGTTCCCAAGAGTAGTTTGGGGCAATAGAGGACTAAAGTATGTTAATTTCTGAAAAAAATTGCTGACCTCCCCTTCTCACTGTGTTAAAGGCTGTGAACAGCTCTGACTGAATATTATTCTATCTTTAAAAACTCGGCTTTGCCTAGAGGTAAGGGTGAGGAGGTTTCTAGGGTTTTTTGTTGCTGTTTGTTTATTTCTGGATTTCATTCAGTTTTCTCTACAGCTTCCCTTCCTTCCTTCCTTCCTTCCTTCCTTCCTTCCTTCCTTCCTTCCTTCCTTCCTTCCTTCCTCTTTTTTAATTAAATACATTTATACAAAGATGTCTTTCCAGATTACTCAGTCATCCACCTGGACAGCCAGGAATGGCTGTGATGCTGTGAAGGACTTATCCATAACAGTCCTCAGCTCATGCACAGCTGCATCAGTTGTATCCTAACCTTAATACTCTCTCTAATAAACAGAAAGAAGAACACACCAAAAAAATCTCAAAGTAACAGTTTGATTGAGTCAAACCAGCAATATATTAGAGTGTCATTTTTACAGGTATTTTTCCTTTGGTCTGTTCAGAAGGGCCCTGGTAGAGTACATCAGTGCACATACCTACCCAATCATTGCAAAAACTGCATGGCACTAAATATGGTACGCCTCTCAAACAAAGGAAGTGCAAACTCAGTAGTTTTCCTAATTAATGTGGTTAAATATAACAATCACACTTAGAAAGTCTGTCTAAAGCAATTATAATTTAGGATTTCCAGAGTCTAGAACAGAAAATTTCCTATTTAGCATTTTACTGGACGGAGATCCCCTAGGGTCATCTTTCCATCTCAACTCACTGGTAACAAAAGTCTTGAAACATATTTTAAAAACACAATTGTCTTTTTGTTAAACAACAGAAGTTGTTAGGCAACACAGCACAAGTCCTTGCAGAGCTATGCTGGTGTACAGAATTTGGCACACCCATTACTCAGCTGCTCATCTGCGAGACAGGACCAGCTCTGGATTAAGAGAGATTTACACCTCAGGACTTTGGTACCTATGGACAGGAATTGTTTGGAAATGTCATATTTTAATTTCATACTGGCAATATTTTAATTTACAGTATGTATTATCAGATCCAAACTGTTTTTAACTATGTCTTAAAGGATGCTCATTTTACTAAGTTATTTTGTCATGACTACGTACTTCTTGCTCGAACTCTGACAGGAATGTTCCTACTGCAGACAAAAAAGTACAAACCGCTTTAGTGTGACACAGATTACTGGGAAAGTGCTGAAGCAGACCAAAGAGTGGTTTGTTGAATTTAATTAGCACTCTGGAACTTAGTGGTTCATTTTTGCTTTCTGAACCACCTTTAGTCACCGTTGGTCTGTCAAACACAGTGGGAAATGCAAGTGCTGTAGTGTTCTGTGGGAGGCTGGCTTCTGCTTTGGCTGCCTCCAAGGGGAAGGAACGTCAAAGTTCAGGATGTGCACCACAAGGAGAGATATCTCTTAAAGTTTCAACACTTCAAACTTGTATGACCATGCTAGCTGTAATTTGCAGAGAAGTTTCCCATTCCAAAAATTGAAGCTGTCTGGAGATACCAGAGCTTGGCAGGGCAGTTACTTAAAACTAGAAACAGCAAAGCTTGTTTTTTTCCACCCATAAATGAAATAATGAGTTAGGAACTGTGAGGCCGAAAATGCCCTCTCTCCTGGGAACTTAAAAAGTGCAGGTGAAAAGTTTCACAATATCTAAAGTAATGGCCAGTGGAAGACTTTTATGAAACAAATACCTGGTTGTCTGTGACCCTGCAGATATTTGGCAGCCCCACTGAAATGACAGCATCATCTTGCATGAATAAGATAATGGGAAACAGGTAAGTAGAATACAGGGAAAAGTATTCATTTCTTGCCAGATGGATTTTTAACTTGCTTGTCATTTGATTACAGCTGTCAGAACAGTTGTTGTGACTGAAAACCGTGAGCTGTTTTCCTGTGGTTGCCCAAGTAGGTCATGATCTGCAAGACCATAACTTGAGCAGAAGGATGGGATTATTTGTCTTCATTTAGTGCAGAGCAGTCAGATGGTAAAGGACAAGAACAGAGCTCGCTGTTAGAAGGTTCTCTGCTTCCGCTCCGTAACATTATCGATTCAACCCCTGGTTTTACCAGTGGGAGTCGTGGTATTTTGATGACATTTCCTAGGAACAGCTTCTCTTCTGAGATCACGAGATAAGAATAAGTATAAATTGTGCATTTAGTTGATCATGCCATTTGACTTTTAAAACAATCTTGGCTGGGTCACATTGGGAAATGGATACTTTTCAGCTGCTCTTTCCTAAGCAGTGTTTTGTGCTATTCTGTTCCCCAAAATCTTTACTTTTAAGGTATCTATTATCAGCCCCATTATGATATGGCTACTGGCTTTCTGCCCCAGATAAAAGTTGAGATTGATGCAGTTGTGTGGGTATAATTCTGGAGGGAGTTTGCAGAAGCTAGGGGCCAGTGGTCTGCCCGGTGTTGGAGCTGGTTCAAGTATTTACAGTTCGTAGCAACCGTGGGTAAATTTTGTTGCTAAAATCACATTTTAAATACTTATGGATTAAGATGACTCAGGGCAGTCTTCCCTTCTAAGATACCTTTGATTAAGTGAGGTGAAAACTGCTGTCATTGGAGAATGAAGAGTGGTCCAGTCATTGGGTGTTATTGAAGGATTTGCATGATTTACTCTTAAATGTTGCTTTTAGCACTCACTTTCTTTTTGACCTTGACCGAACTGAAGCAGACCCAGGTGCCTAAAGACACTTCAGCGTCCAGTACTAAATTGTTTTAAAGTCCAGTGAAATCAGAAAGCATTAGTCTAAAATGCAGAACTTCAAAAGCTTTCTTCTTTGTTTTTTCACTTTCTTTCTTTCTTTCAAGTGGAGATGAAAGCACTTCTCTTTCCAGGAGTGGTGTGATGATGCATACACTGAAGGCATAAGTGCTTGGAAACCATGATAATGTCTATACGCTTGTCCCACTCCTTTCGAGTTTTGCCATTTACCAACTGTATCTTTATTTATCAGTCACCATTCTATACATCACAATTTCCTTCTCACAGGCTAATATTAACATCCCAATGGGAGCATTTCGACCTGGTGCAGGCCACCCTCATAAAAGAAAAGAAGTTACACCTGAAGAAGTGGAGGAGGTAAGCAAAAAAGGTTTTTTGATTTGGTTTTTTCCAAGGAGCAACCCTGCCATAAAATGGAAAAAGCCCTTAAAGTGATCTTGTAGCTCCACATACCAATCTTAGGTACCACAGTTGAACAGGCACTGATCATTCATGGAAATAAATGGCCACTTACTAACACTTCATGTATATAAATAGTTCTGCTTTTGGTGCCAAGGCACCTATAGGAATATAAACTGTGTCAAAGGTGTGTAGCTCTGCTTCCCCAGCGGGATGATATCTGCTGTCAGGAGAGAGAGCCAGGATTTCACCAGCAGTATTTGTCTAGATGGGAGCTGATGAGATACAGCAGGAAAAGTTATAGCAAGGCTTTGGAAGAATTTTCTGTTACCTGTCATCCTGTGGTGTGATTTATTGTTACAGCTTAGCAGTATTGGAACAGGTTTTCAAACACAATGCTTTTTGGAAGGTTTATCAACAAGAATAAATTGAATGTGAAGATGCTTGCAAGTTAAACCAGAAATTGTGAACCCATTTACCTGCCCTGGGGTGAAAATACTCAATTTTAGACTGAATTCTGTATTTTCCGCTTGTATTTTACAGGAAGTGTTTTAACACTGAATTTTGAATATAAAATCCAATTTATACCTTAACTAACATTATCACAAAGGTTATGATTAAACACAGATATCATATTTCTGAATAATATTAAAGCATCTTAATTACCATTAACTTCAACAATAATTGAGACCCTAACACCAACAGTGGAAGAAAAGGTAGTGGTAGATATTCCAAGCAAGACAAAAAAGACAGGTGCTCCTGGTTTCCTGGCCAGTTTACTTAGTTTGGATTCACAATCCCCACATGAGAACTCATCCTGCTGGGCCAGAGCTCCCACTGCTCCTCACAGCCAAGGGAAGGACAGGCTGTAAGACCCAATTCTTCCTTTCCTGGCTCAGTCAGTTTTTTGGTTTTTGGTTTTTTTTTTCTGAATTTTGCCATATTGTGATATAAACTGTGCTCTGTTTACAGAGAACTTTCCCGAAATAATCAAGCCTAGGCTGACTTGGCTCTTAAGAAGATTTTAAAAAGATGTGTTCAATATTGTGGCTTTCTTCCTTGGAAGAAAGGAATCAAAGCATATTCTATTGTCTCTGCAGTAATTAAACTGGTGAAGGAGTGGATGTTATTAAGCAGAAACTAATATAGCATGTGCGAGTTCTAGTAGTGTTTGAGAAATAAATAAATGACCAGTGCTGATAATTACATTTGTTTGGATAATTGAATGTTGCTTTCTCAGCTGCATGAATACTCTATAGGAGACAGACATTATGGAAGTTCTTGGCCCAGGTTTTATGGGCAATACTCAACCAAACCAATGGGGTTAAACACTACAGAAAAAGATCTTGTTATAGGAATAGAATGAAAATGCTACCAGTGAACTTGTCATTTCAATTTTCTCATATTTTTAAGTTTTGCCGTAAGTTTTGCCATACAGCTCATGATTTTTCAGAGCAGTTTTGTATAATGACTGCTAACAGTGCATTTTCCACTGTATTTTAAAGGAGATGAGGGGAATATGGATCTTACTCAAAGGGGGGTGGAGTCAGACAGGAATGTATATTTCTGAAGGTCAGTGGAGCAGACATGTTAACATGAAAATAAATGGATGGTGAGAATTACAGAAAATAACTCGTCAGTCAGACCATTCCCATGCTTGTGTTTTTTAACCCTTTTTCTATATCTAAGTGACTCTTCAGTCTTCCTTCCATAAAACTGAAGGCTTTAGTCTAACCTCAGCTGTGCGTTGCACATGGAGTGAGTGATACAGGGAGCAGTGAGGTCATAAATAGCAAACACCTGAGGCTGGAAGAGAAAGCTGACAACAATTTATGGAGCACAAAGTCTCCAAAATGTGGGCGAAGCTTGCACCACTTGCTCTACAAGAGGAATGGTGTTGCACGTGACTTGAAATGGTATTTTTTACATATTTTTTGCTACGTACTAATAAGTACTACGGGGTTCAGGGAGTGTTTGTTTCCCCTGATTATTTAAATTACCTAGGAAAACTGTCAAAGGAAACAATACAAGCTCATGACATCTTTGACTACTGATACAATTTTGTGCATCCTTCCAAACAGCTTTTGTATCAATTTACTTATTCTCCTGCTGTGCTCTGCTACTGTTTCAGGATGTTAGATTATTAAACCAGATATCAGACAGTACATACAGTTCCTGGGGATGAATTAATGTCTGGGATTTTAAATGATCTAGCAAAAATAATAGTAAAATATTATTAGTATCATCCTGTATTAATTAATAGTGTATTTGCTAAAATGTGAGAAAAGATAATACAAGTGTACCAAGCCAAGAAATGTAATTATCAATTCCATTTTCTTATATCTGGTGATCTTAGGAAAGTCCTTAAAGATCAGATAGGAAGAATATGACAGTTTTCTACAATACCTTGTTTGTTCTAGTTGACATTGCAGTCTTCTTCCTGATTAGCATGTAGTCCATTAGTCAACAGAGAGAAAAAAAAAAAGAGGGATTTTCTGGCCAATAATATTTGACAAGTAATGTTGGAATTTTAAAAATTAAGTTAAATATTAAGAATTGACTGTTCACAGTTAATGTAGCTTTTCAAAAAGGGTGGCTAATAAATCTAAATCATTATTGAACTCTAAAAAGCCCATCACAAGAGGACATTCACAGAGTAATCAAAAATGAAAAAATAATTTCATCATGAAATTACTTATAGTAAAATATAAATTAATCTCTACATGTACTTGATTCCTCCTTTATGCCAGCTTTATAAAACATGCAACAGGCTGGAACAACAATAAACTCATGTCTGGAAATCTACTCCTTCAAAATATTATCCAGTCTAGAGTATAAATGGTCTTAAATACCTGCTCTACTCACCTAGATGCAATAGTACAGCTGAGGAAGTACCAAGGGCTGAAACACTGTGGTCCATTGGGAAATTAGCTGAGTTGCTCACTATTGTGTAATTGCTGTTATTTAACTGGCATTTTTACAGTTTCAGCAAAATAGCCATGCAGCACTACCCTAATTCAAATATAAAATGACAAAAAACCCTTCTGCTCTTGCAACTGAGGTTATGAAAAGTTAAATTTCAACTCATGTTAATCTTGCAGGGAGCTTTTGGAGTCCATAATCTACTATCACAGCTCTTCTCCAGAGCAGCAGAAGTGCATGATGATCTTCCTCTCCAAGCGTCTGGCAATTGTGAAACTATCAAAGGAATTAGATGATAAAAACAGTTTTCTACTTTTTTGTCATCTAAAATATGAAAGACTTGGAGTTGCCTTTAATTCTCCAGTCAGTTATTTTCTAGTAATTGCCTGGCACTGTAAATTCTTACCCATTCTAATTCTCATTCCCTCTATACTGAGCATCTTCTATTTTTTTTAGAATGTTGTTAGACATTTTAGACAACAACTAAAAGAATAATCTATCTCTTCATGACTCCACCCCTTTTCCCACTGGGATTGCCTTTAGTATAAAAATATCATTTCCTGTTTTTCAAATAACTGATCTATGCTCATGTTCAAGAGATTGCTATTGCAGCAGGAAGGTTACTGGTGTCCTTTTGTGCAGAATGCTCCTGCTTCAACAGAGGAGGGGACAGAGAAGAAACTGCTCCCAGGAGCCAAGAAACTTCCAGGTCCTGCTGTCAACTTGTCAGAGATTCAGAACATAAAGAGTGAGCTGAAATACGTCCCCAAAGCTGAACAGTAGCTGGAAGAAGCAGGTGAGTAGAAGAGAGATTCTCTGCATGGCTCTAGGAGAAGCAGGCTGATCCAGGAAGCTCTCTAAGTTAAAAGATGGCTTTTCAATTACTTCAGTGGACCTGGAGTCACACCCCATAATGCAAAGAAAAAATATTAGAACTCATAATTGGGATTTGCTGTTATTTCAAACATGTTGGAGAGTATATCCAGTGATATATGGCACCCATTAACCAGCCTGAAGTAGTCTATTCAGCATACTAAAAATTCAGTGTGTTTGGAATATCAAAGCCACCTTAAAAATAACATAATGCTTCATAAGCACAACTTCCAGTTTTGCAAAATATAGAACTTGTATTTTTACAATATAACTAAAAATGAATGTTTTAAAATGCAAATAAATTTATTGCTGTGATGGGCAAGTAGGTCAGTATTTTTAAAAAGCTGCTTTGGAACTTTAGTTATTTGATATTAATTTATTTATGTAATTCAAAATTGACATTCTAATGGTTCCATATATTTGATCACAGAAACACAGACAATGTTATTTGTGCCACTCCAGGACTTGCTGTAGTCCAGCACAGGAAGGACATGACCTGTTGGAGTGAATCCAGAGGAGGGTGACAAAGGTGAAGGGAGGGCAGGAGCATCTCTATGAAAGACAGGCTGAGAGGGTGAGGTTGTTCTGCCTGGAGAAGAGGAGGCTCTGGGCAGACCTCGCTGTGGCCTTTCAGTACTCAAAGAGGGCTTATAGAAAAGATAGCAACAGAATTTCTAGCAGGTCTTCTTGTCACAGGGTAATGAGTAATGGTTTTAAACTTGAGGACTCTGGATTCAGACTAGATATAAGGAAGAAGTTTTTTACAGTGAAGGTGATGAAACACTGGACCAGGTTGCCCAGAGAGTTGGTAAATGCCCCATCCCCAAAAACATTGGAGATCAGGCTGGATGAGGTTCTGAGCAAGCTGGTCTAGTGGAAGATGCCTCTGCTTATTGCAGATGGGTTGGACTAGATGACCTTTAATGATCCCTTCCAACCCAAACCCCTCTATGATTCTACGATGATTTCATTTAAAACTAAATATTCAGCACTTCAGTGACAACTTCAGAATAATTTATATCTGATTTCAAACAAGACCCATAAGCCTTTGTTGTTCTACATTCTGAACCTTATAGAAATTAATGATAATTTCTGTCCATGAAGTTATCCTCTGATTTCCTTTGAAAAGCCTGAGTCAGTAAAGATGTGTCAGGCACTTACAATGAAAACTCAGATGTACAGAGAAGTTTTAATACAAAACAGCCCTCCACCCTGGCTACAGCAAGAAAAAGATAGTTGTGTTACATAATATTCACCTGAATTGCTAGTTGTGCATACTGACTGATAAATCCTTTTTATCCTAAAGAGAGGCAGAGGAGCTGAGCAGGAGAAAATCATCTTGAATTTACAGAAACATAAATGAAGAACAGAGGAAAACAGAAAGCAATGCAAAGGGGTTCTGGGAATGCAGAAGTGCTAAGAACCAGGAATCTTAAAAGAAATGGTGTATAATTTAAGTGCATTATCCCAGTGTACTCTGCATCATTAACATAATTATTTTTTCTGTACAGTATAAATATGCCATTTGGAAGGAAAGAGTATTGAGTCTTTTCTTGCTTTTACCCTGCTGTGTCATAATGTTCCTGATATTTTAAAGATGCAACAGAATCTTTCTCTTCAGGAAACTTGGGGGGGAAAAATAACATTTTGTAAAATATAACATTCTAGTAATTTCACTAAAGCACTGCCCAGAGAAATATGAATTTTTAATGTCAGGCTTTAAAGAGGTTTTTTCCTGTAAGAGATATTCCGATGTAAATTTAGTCCCATATTTATTCTCAGATGATTGCTATTTTTAACATTTAAAAGTTTTTTAGTTTTTACCTTACTGAGAATGTGACAGAAACATTTAGGGCATGCTCAGAGGTTCACTATAAAGTTTTCAACAGCAAGGTCAGCAAAGTAAAGGGCATCTTGAAAGCAGTGAGGTTATTAAGAAGTAATTTCTGTCTCTGTCCTTCTTTTGATGTATTGGTTATCAGGTTCTGACAGGGATACAGATTTCTAGATTTTGGGTAGTGCAGTCACAGATCATATCTGCAAGCTCAGTTTCCGTAGGATTTTCAGGTACAGTACTCGCTGGAGCCTGTCGGTTTGGATGTTGAACTAAGCATGTGCATGAATTCCACATAAAATTGAGATGCAAATTAATCAGGTGCCACCTCCAGCAGCCTTGAGTGATGCTAAATCTAAGCACTGTCCCCTGTAAGAGGAAATTCATCAGATCTGGTGCTTAAGCTGTGGCCTGCAGCCTCGTATAAAATGTGATATTGTCAGAGAGCTGTTTTATGATTGATCAAGCAAATCTAGAGAAGATTACCTCAGTCTGCAAGAAATTCACAGTCACATATGCCTGATACTTTGCTCCATCTACAAGAAGGGGTTAGAGATCATCTTTGGATGTGATAATCTCAAAAGAATGGTGAACTGACTGATCAATAGAATAGGCCTGTGCAGTGTGTACTGATAGATGAGGGTGTTCTTTGGTTTTCACAGTTTGGAAATTAATTCTCTCTTACATCAGTACTATAATCTTCTGAGATATTCACTATTGAGGGGTTTTCCTTTGATATTTTTTTTTTGTTTCTTGTGGTACTCTGTAGGAAACTGTTTCTACTTGAAACAGAATAACTCCATAGTTTCCATTATTTTGTGATCCTATAATATGATGCAATAAAAAAACCCCACAAATACGCTTTAACATGCCACAGATATCAAAGCTTTTAGAACCACAGCAGTTATTTCCAACTTTACCTCCTGTATTGTCATATTTCATTGTTAGTTTCAGTAAATTGCAAGCTAACATGATGAATTTTGTATTATTTTTGATCCATGTTTTCTTGCTCGGTTTAGCACGCAAACCCAGCAGCAAAAATAAGGAACCTACAAAGCATTAGGTTGGTTCATTATTTGCAAACCCATTCCTACATAATTTTCACTTTGGAGTAACTTCTGTTAAATATCTTTGGTCCTGCTCTTTGCCAAATTAGGAAACATGAATAGACTTGCTAAGATCATAGTAGTGAGTATAACAGTTTGTGGGAGGAATGTAATTAGGGAGATGTCATGAAGCTGGATCCACTGAAGGTCATCAAGTGCTCCTCAGTTAAGATATTACTGTAGTCATCCCTTATGGGGATCTGGTTTACCATCTATAATTAGCTAATTAGCATACTCTACTTTGTCATAAAGGTTTTTTTCTTCCATACCTGTAGATGATGTGTTACATGCAGCTAGTTTTAATATACAATGTGAGTTATGATTAATTTCCCTTTTCTCCATATACAATTTTTTTTCTGCTCCCTTCACATTCTACATTCTGCTCCCTGGACATTTCTACATGCACAGGAATGAAGCATATGCAAAATAAAATAGTAGCAAAATATCATACACTAAAAATATATGCCCTATTGAATAAGTAATGGTAGGAAGCATTTAGTTTGTGACAAATGGAGCCTGCTGTGGCTGAGATTTATTGCCAATTGTTGTGATATCTCATGTGATAACTAGTATGGTGATTGTACTTGAAAATGGGCCTGAGCACAAACTGGCATTTCACCTGAGAACATAGAAAATGTCAGCCAGTTCCTTCTGCAGCTCATGTTCATTCTTCATTCTGCATCCCTTCACCTTTTGTCCTGAAGTGTGGAGGGCTGTGTACCAAATCCTTTTATGGTGAAGGGCCATGGAGTCTAAACGCTGGACTTTGGTTTCAGAGGACCTAAACCTTCAGCTAAAGTGGTCTAGTCCTTTCCTCTTGAAGAAGACTTTCTTAGTGGAAGAACTTCTCAAAAAGCAAAAAGGGAAATTTACTGTCTCTAAGTTACAAAAGTTACTGTGTTTAACTTACAAAACAGTATGTCATGGACATAGGGGCACCACTCCCAGCACTGTATTCTAGTTGTGTTTGGAGAAAGGAATTGTCAGGATTCCCATCACAGTGTTGATAAGATGGTTTCTCACCATCTGATGCAGTACTTGCAGACAAATTGTTGTCTTTACCTGGAGCTCTACTGGGGAGAGTGCTTTGATTGCAGAAGGTATTCTGTTGTCAGGTTACAGAAGCAAGAGAACGGTATTTTGAAGGCTGAAGAACTAGCAAAAGCTTCCTAGGGCAGTTTAGCCTTTGCATTATGCAGAGAATTCTGCCCCACATAAAATGAGAAATCTTGTCAGCAGAGCAGCCTCTGAGATTGGCATCATTTGGAGAAAAAAGAAAGGGAAAAAAACCCTAACAGAAGTCTCTTAGGGAATAAAGGTCTTATATCCATACACACAAGATGTTCCTTGGTGTTGCTATTAATTATTGACATTAAATTTTTTAAAAGAAATTAATTTAAATTTGTCGATCACCCCAGGCTAAAAATGCACCTTATAACTTTGCCCACTAAAGATTTAATACAGTTTCCTGCTATATATTGCTCTAAAGCTGCCCCTCAGTTAGCAGCATGTAGCCATTTGCCTCTCCTGGTGTCTCTGCTGTGACACACAGTTTAGTGTTTGCATCTTATCCCTGTGCTCACGTGGCTCAGAGGGGTACAGTTAAACTGCAGTACAGTTACCTGCAAGGTTATTGCTTTTTTCTCCAAAAACACAGCAGTGCTTTGCAGTAGAGGAACTCTGACCTGCTGTGAGCTCTTGAAAGAGCACTGCAGTTTTAGGAATATGTGTTCGTTTAATTGAGTCCCAGCAGCCAAAGCTTGTGTGAGAGACGGGAATCCTGCATCCAGGGGATGCCAAGCTAGGTCAGGAGATAAGATCTCCTGGAGTGGGAACTATAGGGTGAAGAAGGAGGATGTGCATCAAAAATATCTGCAGAACCCTCCTGCCAAAGTCAGAGGGGTCATGGGGAGATCTCCTCGGTGTGTGTAAGTACCTAAAGGCAGGGTGCAAAGAGGACACAGCCAGGCTCTTCTTGGTGGTGCCCAGTGATTGGACATCCCCCAACATACACACTGTGTGGCCTGTGTTGATTTCAAAGTGCTTCTTGTCTTCTTCTATCTATCAATGGTTTCATACAATCCTGCTGGTTTTGATTCAGAACTCCCAGACCAGCAGCACTTGAGGATTTCATGGCCAGCCATCAATTTTGTCAGGTCCCTTCTTCTTTTTGAGTCTACTTAAGACGAGCTTTCAGACTTTAAAACAGAAGAGCTAGAAATTTCTTTTCAAAGAGAAAAATGGAATGTCCAGAACATAATTTAGTATCAGAGGAATCTTTGTAATCCTGTTACCTCCTTGAGCAAAAAATCCCCAACAAAATGTTATTCATATTTTTGTTTCCCAGAGTTTCTGTGATCAGAACAAAAAATTTAGTTGCCATGGTTTAACCCCAGCCAGCCACCAGGTACCACACAGGCACTCACTCACTCCCCCACCAGTGTTGAGGGGAAGAGAATTGGAAGGGTAAAAGTGAGAAAACTTGTGGGCTGAGATGAAAACAGATTAATAGGTAAAGCAAGAGTCATGCAAGCAAGCAAAGCAAAACAAGGAATTCATTCACAGCTTCCCAAGAGCAGGCAGGAGCTCAGCCATTTCCTGGAGAGCAGGGCCCCATCACACCTATCAGTGACTTGGGAAGACAAACACCAGCACTCCAAACACCTCCTCTTCCTCCTTCTTTCCCCCACTACACACTGATCATGATGCCACATGGCCTGGAACATCTCTTTGGACAACTGGGGTCACCTGTCCCAGCTGTGTCTCCTCCCAACCTCCCCCACCCTCCCAGCCCCTCGCCAGCCCGGTCGTGTGAAAAGCAGAAAAAGCCTTGGCTCTGTGTAATATTGCTCAGCAATAACAAAAACATCGCTGTATTATCAGCCCTGTGTTCAGCATACATCCAAAATTTAGCCCCATACCAGCTGCTGTGAAGATAATTAACTCCACCCCAGCCAAACCAGCCTGATTTCCTCTACCATGGCTTGCAGCTGTCTGTCCTGAATTGAGTCTCTAGCCCAGCACAATGCTGTGGTAAGCCCCAGCACACTTCAGTCCTTTGCAAGTCAAGGAGAGATTTCCTTCTCATTCCCTAGCTGAATTGTGGAAGAGGAGGGGGAGAACAGACTGGAGAGAGTCTGCTTTCTAGAGGCCTAAGAAGGCTTGAAGGTATGTGTTAGGAGGTTAATTTTGCCAAGTAAAGAACAGGACATATTCTAATAAACCACAAATGCTACTACATAAACTAGTTAGGAAAAGATTCTGGTTGTGGTTTTGGAAACTGACTAATAACTTAGAACAAACACTGAAGAATCAGAAAACATTTTGCTTCAAAGCAAACTACAAGAACAGATGCTAATATTTTTTCAAAACAAAAAAAAAAAAACCAAAAAAAAAAAAATTTAAAGTATTTTTTTTCCAAACTGTGTATTCAAGCAGAGCATTTAGAGCTAGAAATTTCTTTTCAAAGAGAAAAATGGAATGTCCAGAACATAATTTAGTATCAGAGGAATCTTTGTAATCCTGTTACCTCCTTGAGCAAAAAGTCCCCAACAAAATCTTATTCATATTTTTGTTTCCCAGAGTTTCTGTGATCAGAACAAAAAATTTAGTTGCCATGGTTTAACCCCAGCCAGCCACCAGGTACCACACAGGCACTCACTCACTCCCCCACCAGTGTTGAGGGGAAGAGAATTGGAAGGGTAAAAGTGAGAAAACTTGTGGGCTGAGATGAAAACAGATTAATAGGTAAAGCAAGAGTCATGCAAGCAAGCAAAGCAAAACAAGGAATTCATTCACAGCTTCCCAAGGGCAGGCAGGAGCTCAGCCATTTCCTGGAGAGCAGGGCCCCATCACACCTATCAGTGACTTGGGAAGACAAACACCAGCACTCCAAACACCTCCTCTTCCTCCTTCTTTCCCCCACTACACACTGATCATGATGCCACATGGCCTGGAACATCTCTTTGGACAACTGGGGTCACCTGTCCCAGCTGTGTCTCCTCCCAACCTCCCCCACCCTCCCAGCCCCTCGCCAGCCCGGTCGTGTGAAAAGCAGAAAAAGCCTTGGCTCTGTGTAATATTGCTCAGCAATAACAAAAACATCGCTGTATTATCAGCCCTGTGTTCAGCATACATCCAAAATTTAGCCCCATACCAGCTGCTGTGAAGATAATTAACTCCACCCCAGCCAAACCAGCCTGATTTCCTCTACCATGGCTTGCAGCTGTCTGTCCTGAATTGAGTCTCTAGCCCAGCACAATGCTGTGGTAAGCCCCAGCACACTTCAGTCCTTTGCAAGTCAAGGAGAGATTTCCTTCTCATTCCCTAGCTGAATTGTGGAAGAGGAGGGGGAGAACAGACTGGAGAGAGTCTGCTTTCTAGAGGCCTAAGAAGGCTTGAAGGTATGTGTTAGGAGGTTAATTTTGCCAAGTAAAGAACAGGACATATTCTAATAAACCACAAATGCTACTACATAAACTAGTTAGGAAAAGATTCTGGTTGTGGTTTGGAAACTGACTAATAACTTAGAACAAACACTGAAGAATCAGAAAACATTTTGCTTCAAAGCAAACTACAAGAACAGATGCTAATATTTTTTCAAAACAAAAAAAAAAAACAAAAAAAAAAAAATTAAAAGTTTTTTTTCCAAACTGTGTATTCAAGCAGAGCATTTTTTTTATTATTATTACTGGAAGAGACAAGCACAAAGTAATAACTTGAAGAAGTCTGTCCTAATTTTTAGAAGATGATCATGTTACTTACTGCTCTATCTACAACATACACGAGAGAGTTTGCAGACGTGGAGATGAACAAGGCTCTACACAGAGACAGGAGAAATGTCTTCACTGAGCCTCTCACTTTGAAACATTAATGCACTTAAAGTAACAAAATACTTCCAATGTGGACCCACAAATCTCTGCTCTGTTCTCAAGTGAGAACCATTTCTATGAGAAAGGGCCAAAAGTTTTGTTTGAAAGCTGAAAATTTTCATAGCTGACTGCTATTTAATAACTGCTTCCCTGTTATCATTCTTTAGTCCTGAACTTTTGTTAGACTCTTTTATAAAATAACCCCTCTCTTTCCATTGGTGCTGTTCATGTCAGATTTTCATAAAAAACAAACTTTACACTCAGTTGCCTGAGTGAGATGCAGTTTCTGGGGTGACATCCCTCAGAAGAAGCTCAGAAAGGCAGGAGGTCTCGTGAGATACCAGATGTTGAGGGATCAGTGAACTGTGAAGAAGGAATACAGTCAGCAGGCTTTTTCTTGCTTATCTCTGCTAGATGTGTTAAGAGTTAGCCCATGAACTACAGCATCTAACAACAGGTACTACTGGAATGTACTCCTCTTGGAAATCTCAGAACAGGATATCAGGGATCCCTAAAACTTCAGTTATCTGCTGTGTGAACAGGTCCAAGTATTTAGCTGAAAGTCCTGTGAGTTGAAAGGCACCTATCCCAAGTCATGTGCATATAAATCCATGCAGAACTAGTTGTAACCAGGGAACTGTGGGCATTAGAAACTGGAGAGCAGGAACAAGATCATCCTGATCACTGCTAGAGAGGTATGAGTGAGATGAGAGAAATGCTGTTTCTCTCTTCCTGGGAACTGTCCTGCCAGTGTTAGATATGCCTGGAGCAATCAGACATTGTTGCTCAGAATCAGACAGAAATCATCTGAAACACAAAATAATAAGCAATTCCAGTCATTCCCACCTTATACAGTTCAAAATGTGTTCAGCACAAGGTTTTCAAGTGCTACATCAGAGTGAAAAGGCTAACTGCTTTGGAATACATGAAGTGTGACTTCCCACATTAGTAACAGCTCAGATAGTTTTATCAAATCTACATAAATTGCAGCCAATTAAGTTGACAGTATGATCTGAAATATCTCAGCTCTCATGTGATAATCAAAGGAATTTTCTTCTAAATTTAGTGCCTCATCATTTTATTTTATAGATTTTATTCATTTCATTTGATAGAAGACTACCTAATTAGGTTTTCACATCCTTGTGCTTTAAAATCACATAAATTACTGCATTACTGTACTTTGTCATCTCTTGCAGAACTGGCTCGATGTGACATGAGCCTTGTCACCCCTGTCCAGGAGCAGGCCATCTACAAGTGTCCCAAGCCTTGCTTTGTACTCAGGACTACACCTGCTTCAGCCACCAAACTGCTCCTGGTGTGCCTTATTTTAAAAAATGTAGCTCTTTTAGTGCCAAGGCTACCTCTGTTTCACACTTGTTTGCAAATTTCTTCAGAGAATAACATTTTGTAGTGTTTGAGCTCGCTGTGTATAGGTAGAACATTGTATATAGGTAGAGCTCACCATGACACTGATCCCAAGATCCATTGACACTGATCCCAAGATCCATTGCCCCACTGTCAACACTACAGAGGAAATAATAAGGCAATGCTAATGTAGTTTGGTTTTGCTGACTCTGTCTGCTGCTGATTTAACCTCCTAATTTCTCTTTGATTTGCCAAAGGAGTCTCAAATACGCTGTATTTCCATGTGAACAAAGGACACAGCATAAATGAGCCTTGCCCTGCAGAAATATGTATTAGTTTTACTCTCAGTGTTGGTTATCATTTATGTTTCAAATTTCATTTGCTATGGGTTTTAGCTAGCTGAAGGGAGACTAACCTTTACTTCAACTTGGGAACAAGTATAATGCATGGGTTTTTGTCCTGCCCTTAAGAGTAGGGCTGTATTTGCTTCTGACTGCAATTGACTGAGGTTCACATACAGACACGAGTTCCATAAAAGCAGAAAAAAGCCCTCAGTCTTGCTCTTCAGAACTTACTCCCCCACCTTGGTAAAGTCGATGTAGCATTGCTTTTACTTTAATAATTCAGCTATTCAATGGATAAAAGAAATAAATTGAGTCCTTCAGCTTTTAGCTCTCCCGGGTCTTTGTTCTCGTTTATTGCCTTGGAGCACACCTTGTCTTAAAATTGCTGCTACTCCTACGTGAATCTGCAGAGCCTTTCAGGGCACAGCGGAGCAACCTCGGAGCCAGTAATGGCAGTGGCCGGGAATGCTCTCGGGGAAGGGAGGGAGAAGAGCGCCGGGATCGCCCCCGCCTCGGCCGGTGAGCCCGGCAGAGCGCCGGGGCAGGAACGGGGCAGGAACGGGTGAGAAAAGGGGCAGAAACGGGGCAGAAATAGGACAGAAACGGGGCAGAAACGAGGCAGAAACGGGACAGAAACGGGGCAGAAACGGGGCAGAAACAGGAGAGAAACAGGAGAGAAACGGGACAGAAACGGGGCAGGAACGGGGCAGAAACGGATTGTGCACAAAGGGACAGCTAAGGGGCAGTGCACAAAGGGACACAAATGGGGCTGCTGAAATTGCTTTCACTGAGGAAACATCAAAGAACAAATAGCTTTCCCCAAAGCCAAACTGCTCCTGGTCCGAGGGAAGGATGATGATAATAACTGGGTATTGCTGTTTCAAAGCTTTGAAACGTGCTGCCTTTGTACAGAAGATGAAACAAACATGAATTATGTACTGAAATGGAAGAAAATGCATATGCAAAGAATTGAAACGAAATATTTGAGCTAAACCAGGCAGAATACAGGGAAAAGAACACCTGCAGTTTTTCTGTGTTTATAAATCACACTGCTCTTGAGTGCAGTATCCTTCCCAAAGATTGTTAAAGATGGGATACAGTATGTCCTCTGCTAAAATTAATGAAGGATCTCAGACCTCCATTAAATACTTAATGAAGGATCTCAAACCTTTTCATTTTGAATTTCTCAATTTCCTTGATTTTGTGGTTTTGTCTGAAAATATTTGAATTGATCTGTCTCTTTAGGCTTTGAATAGAAGCATTTATTTTTGAAAAGTATGTAATATTTCTCTCTTTTAATTCTCAAGAAAAGAAGACCTCTCTCTGTGAAGATGAGGCATACTTTCAGTTTTACAGTCCATTTTGCTGAAAGTAAAGTGAGTCCAGATGGGTATATCACACATGTACCCTTTTTTAATTTAAGCCCTTCATTTAAAAAAGTAACAAATAATGTTGTAGTGCATCTCTTCCTGCTTTTTATATGCTTCTAAATTTTTTATTCTGGAACAGAATCAATATGCTATCATATATGTGAATAATTACTCTGGGGCAAATTAATTCTGCAGCTAAGTGTTGTCTGTCTCCAGTTACTACAGTTTAACACATTACTAGACAACACCCGAGCCACTGCTGAGCTCGTGAAAGCTTCAAAGTCTGTCACAAACCTTTTGGTGTTCTGCCTTACATGCGTAGAGAACAAGAACCTGGCCAGCCCAGTGTTAAACCTGGCCACAGAACACCACAGCTCGCCTGATGAGCCATCATAGGCCATGTCCAAGTGTGAGGTTATCTGCAGCTGGGTTGAAATGATACTGTTTCCCTAAGGCAGGATGGCAAATAGGGCAATCAGCTTCAATGCCTTTCTTTGATAGACACCACAGAGGTGAGTGGAGGCTGGCTCTCAGAGAAGCTTGTGCTGTCATGTGGCTAAAAGCCTCATTTTTGAGCTAAACCATCCTTCAGCAAAGTCAAGTCCTTGGGGCTCCATCTCCTGTGACATTTTTGGCATCTTAACCATTTTCATCAAGGCAAGCCCATGGATGAAAATCACGTGCAATGGCAGAAGAATACCTTCAGCCAATGGAGCCTTCATTCACATCCCTCAGCAGTGCCTGGAATTTTATTAGCAGCACAGGGACCAGGTCCATGTTGGGCAGAATGCTGCAGGCAGCTCCAGACAGCCATCCAGGATGGCAGAGCACACCTTGCACTGCTGTGTTCTGACCTGCCTTGGGGAGACACTTCATCTCCGTGTCTGCCAGTGCTCCCTTTGCCAGGGAGGTGATCCTCTTGCATGATCTACCAGAGGGAACAGCTGCCTGAACTCCAGCTTCTGCAAACACGTACAGGCTGGCTGGCTCCATCACTAAAGAGGGGAGCTGAATGCCTCAGACCCTGAAAGCAGGCAGGCAGGGGTGGAGAGCAGCTGGCCCACATTATGGCACTGCCTTCTGCCTCAGCTCTGTATGCCAAGGGACGGATGAAGGCCAGAATTGTCCCCCCCTGCCAGCGTGCTCTACCATTGCTCAGAGATAAGTCCTTGTGGGATTCACATTCTCTGAACCTGAGAGAAACAGTGAGAGAAGCAGAGAAGAGAATGATCAAAACAATTCTTATCTCATTTGCTGTGCCTGTGTTGTGCCAAAGTAGAGTGTAATATGGAGATTGTTTACCCAGAGGGATGGGGTTTTGTTTCCTTGGCCTATCGGGGCCAAGCATGTGTCCAGACTGTCGGTCAGGAGACAGGCACGAGATTCTGTTCAGCGGAGTTGAGTGCTTGTGCAGGTTCAGTTTAGATGTAATGTAATATAGTATAGTGTAATATAGTATAATAAAATAATTAATTACCTTCTGATATTGATAAAGTCCTCCTCATCATTCTCCCTGCCACGGGGGTTGTCCTGATTTTACGATAAGTCCTGGCTCCTCCCAAGGGGAAATTGGCTGTAAAGACATGTACAAGGTTAGAGAGAGAGGAAAGTGGAGGTAGAGAGTCCTGTCTCAGCTGTAGTCCTTAGTGCTCCTGATCACACAGGTCCCTTCAGAAACTTCTGCCCTGCAGAAACCCACGCTTCTGCCATCTTGAGAAGATGGTTTTGCATGTGCTGTTGTGAACCCTTGAGACATTTCTGCAAGCAGCATGGTGAAGCTTGTGTGGAAAGCTGTTTAGACATAGCTAACAGAAAAAAATTGAAAACAATCAGATTTTTTCCCCTGGGGCTTCAGCAATGTTCTCAGTAAAGCCAGGAGACATTTCCCATCATCCTGAGTAATCAGTGTGAACTGTCTCCTCCAGATATGCTCCAAATTTTTTAAAAAGCAAGTAGAAAAATCTGCAAACATGCAAGAGAAAGGATGTGATGGTGGCCCCTCCCTTCTGCCTTGGCTCAGTGGTTATCATGCATACACAGCCAGGAAACATGAATAAACCAGGTCAGGTCCTTCTTTGCCTCAAAAGGATTAAAACCCACAATTCCTGCTTCCCTGGAGACTGCAGACTAGCTTGGCAGGGGGGCCCTTTCTAGACTTCAAGCTAAAGCTCACCTTCTGTGCAGAAATGAATTAATCTGTGGATAAATCAGCCTCATGGCAGCTTAGCAATGTGGAGCTCAACTGGCACTAAGGAAACTTGCTTCCATGTGCCTTAGCCTGTGGATTGCTGTGCACCATGTCTAAAGGCTAATTTGTGTAGCAACAGACTCCTCAAGCTATGATTTGAAAGAAGCCAGGGTGGCTGCAGCTGTGTTTTTGTGCAGTCTCATGCAGTTGTACAGGTGCTGAGGAGGACAGTCTCTGTGGAAACCCACCAAGCTTCTGGGTGCTGCTCAGGTTTACACATCTCCCTGGCACTCAGATGAGCAGGGTTATTTAAACTCAGGTCATTTTAGACGGGCATGAGCACAGTTTGAGGTTATGGTGTAGATGGTCCATGGTTTTGAGGACCACAGTTCTGGATTTAAGTGCCTGCTTCCCACTTGCACCTGAGGCATCCAGATTGCTGGGACTGTCCTCCAGTGGTAAGGAGCTCAACCCCAAGGTCACTCAGTGGGAACTGTGCTCATGAATCACGTAAGTGGATCTCAAAATCACACTCCAAATTTGAATCTTCAAATTGCATATTTCTCACTGAGTGCTGAGAGTGAGCAGGGCTCTGTGTCTCTGCAGTAAGATTCAGCACCTGTGCTGGTACAGCTGTGTGAGTGCTCCAGCAGGAGCTGCTGCACACCTTCTGAGAGAAGCCTTTCTGCCGAGATGAGCAAAAGAAATATTTTCCACAGAAACTGTAGATCATGGCCATGCAAATTCAAACCCAAAATATAATTGGTCTCTGGTGCCTGGTTTTTAACAGCAGGTGATTCCTCTCAGCTTTTCCTTCAATTTCTCTGTGGAAACATATTCTTTTCCTTTTCAATTTGTTTAGTCAAAACACAATTTTCTATTTTGAAACATGGTGCCGTGAGAAAGTTTAGTCTCCCATATGTCTTCCAGTCAATCTTAATAACTCATTTATAAATGCCCACCTGTCACAGATTGCAAATCAAGTATTAACATGACAGGCAACATGTTGTAACATTTTCATTTATGTTTTGAATAAACTTATCTATTCCTTGGAAAAAGATGGGCTTACCTTTGAAACACGAATAAATTACAAAATTCTATAAACACAACATATATATATATACATATATATATACACACACATACACTGCTTACTGATGTGAAAACACTCCACATGTACTGTAGATTTATGTATCAAATATTAAGCTAGTTGTCCACAGACAAACTGCCCAACTACCTGCAGTAGCTTTGAAGAAGTGAGATAATGTGAAGAATTGAGCATGTCCTGTATGGACCAGATGTCAGAATACACAGTTTTCTGATGCAGTCAGTAACATGTCAAGTTAAATTAGCAGCTTGTATATGATGTCTTGGTTTCATGCTTTTCCATCTCTGAGGCCATCCTCTGGGTTAGGTGCAAGACGGCTGTCAAATCTCCCAGGCTGATTAAGAACTCTCACTTTTTCATGGCAAAGGAGCCATAAAACCTAGGATGAGACTTAAATATGCAGGAGAGGCTGCAGTGAATGTATGTTATGGAAAAATTATGTTGGATTTTGATTTTCTTACCACCCTTTCCTTTTCCTCCCATTTGCTATATTTTTCAATATATTTTGCTTCATACAAAGTGCTAAGAATTTCAGGAAAAGTATTTGCAAAGAGCACAGAGACCACTAAGTCTCGATTTAAAGGTATTGAAAAATAAAACCAAAGCCAACTTTTGTCTCATCTGTGAGTATATTTGCAGGGATGTGATCATTGTCTCAGGC